GACGTCATGAGTTTGAACGCTGGCTAGAAGCTGCGTCCATGCTTCCGGCGAACTACGTTCAATATGACGTCATTAGTTTCTCTCGAAAGCGTTTGTGCTCATTAGAAAGTAGTTCGTCGCGAAAATTCGGTTTTCGGGGGAGTTACGGGAGTATGACACAATTGACAGTGTTACTAGTGTGTGTGTATTATCCTTGCTGAAAAGCAGTGCTTGTTTTGTGTGATGTGCGTATACTTATTTGAAGTTAAACTTCTTGCCTAAACAGCATTTATTTAATAACGCAAATAAATATGCGAACCAGTACCAGTCATTTCACATTTGTTTTTTTTTAGCAGTTCACTATTTTTTTTCGAATTAAAACTTTTAGAGTGAACTCCATTTTACTCGACTCCGTATTACCGAACGTGAACTAGTTCTATTTACTCAATTTAAACCAGAATGATCGGAGTGCCAAGCGAGTACTTAGAGTGCACAGAAGTTGTATTCCTTTCACATCTAGGAGGAGCTCCGGAACAGCTCCGGGGCTTCACGCCCCTATTCCTTTCGAAAAGTGTTTGTTGCACCACGCATCTGTTCCCTGCAAATTGGGGGCTCCTGAACACCGGAGCGAGTAGCTCGAGTGTTTGAAACTCTTGAAAGGAATACAACTAGAGTGAGCAAGCTTTATCCAGTTTAGGTACGGGGAAGCAGTTTTTGCTTTGACTTATGAGCCGGATCAGACAATTTACAAATCATGTGCCTGTCAAAATTTCGGAGCAAATCCACGAAAAAGATGACAAAAACGAACACGACTGGGTCCTTATTCTAAAAAAGGGGAGCAACGTTCTCGGGAGAATGAAGGTCTGTTCCCACGGGGTATCTGACAGTTTGCAACCTGTCAGAAACAATCGCTCAGCTGAGTTACATAGATTTATCTTGTAACGGCAGCATTGAAAACATGTATGGGCGATGCTTACTAACAGTTTGCAAACTGTCAGAGACTCCTGTGGGAACAGACCTGTAGTGTTGTGTCTTTGTTACTTATAATTATCATTTCCATATCACTGAGAAAGACAGAACACTCGTTCTTCTGGGAACGCTGCTACCCTGTTTCAAGAATAAGGACCCTGAGGGCGAGACCACACGGGCGTAATTGACGTAAGCGTAACTATTCACGTTATTCAATTTGTGCGATTTCATTGGCGGCAGTACAGCCATCTTGAATTTTTGACATTACGCTGCCGCTACAGCAAAAAGTTGGGGTTTGTTTAAAGCTACATCCTCAATCAATCTGGTATTATAGCGAAGCGACACTTCGGCACGCGTGCTGGGAATTTGATACCCATCCTCAATGCTGTCAATTTTCAGTCTGCTGTGCGTGTATAGTTCCTTCAGCCCTATTGCACTGTTACGTCATATCATTCCATCTTTCTCTAGGCATTGAACGTATGTTCCAAATTGGTCCAGCAATAAATTGAAATTTTTGACATCAATTGTGGATTCGCCACAGTGTCAATATCAAAATATAAATTATGAATAGATTGTGATGAAATTCTAGGTTTGCTTTTATTTTTATCTGAAATATACGAAAGCGCTGAACGGACATCGTGTTTTTTTTTGTCAATATTCTATAATTGTCAGTTACAACTGACAATTAGCCCTAATTGTCAGTTACAACTGACAATTAGCCCTAATTGTCAGTTACAACTGACAATTAGCCCTAATTGTCAGTTACAACTGACAATTAGCCCTAATTGTCACTTACAACTGACAATTAGCCGGCGGGCTCAAGTCGTGAGCATACTAGTGATGAGCGATACCGTGATTGATATCTACAAATCGCAAATCACGACCGCGACCAAAGCTCTATAAAAAGCGTGACGTAGCAAACTAATTTCTAGTTTAGGCTTTTTTCCCATACTATACCGGGTGACAACGAAATCGTTATACAAGGCGTCATTGAGTTGTCTTCAAATTTAAATATTTGAAAATCGGGTGGAACGTGTAAGTCATTGAGACGCACACTTTTCATAAAAAAACAATTGAATATCACTTCCAGTTCCTTTGGAAATAGACCCAAGTCAAGAAATTTTTATGGAACCCTGTATATTTTTTTACACAGTTGGATAGAGCTTAAAATTCCCTTTTCAATGATATATGATAAGTGGAATTTGCTTTTAAGATGGCGGCGTGAGAAGGCACTTTCTTAAATTCAATATGGCGGCATTCTGATCTAACCTTTGCATACCTTAACCGAAAAATGAATATGCATTTTGGTAGACATTTTTCGGTAGGCCATTGGACACACTTTAATTCTAGAATTTAATAAGTACCTCTTCCTATTCAAAATTTTTAGAAAATTTGAAACTAAAATTTGCATTTCAAAGATATTTTGAAATGCCCTTGTTTTTGAGCAAAATCTTTTTTTTTTTTTCAAATTCGATGTAAAACCATTTCAAATCTAAAAATTATGGATTGGGAAAAGTGTTTGTTTGACAGAAACATTATCGGTTACGTCAGAATGCCGCCATATTGAATTTAAGAAAAATACCTTCTTACGCCGCCATCTTGGAAACAAATCCAAGTTGTGATATGTCGTTGGAAAGGGAATTTTAAGCTCTATTCACTGTGCAAAAAAATATACAGGGTTTCATAAAAATATCTTGACTTGGGTCCATTTCCGGAGTAACCGGAGGTGATATTCAATTGTTTTTTTACGGAAAATGTGCGTCTCAATGACTTACCCGTTCCACCCAATTTTCAAATTTTTAACTTTAAAGACAACTGAATGACGCCTTGTATAACGATTTCGTTGTCACCCGGTATACTTTTTTCCTATAAAGTTGAATACCTATCCAATAACACTGTAAGCATCTGTAAAAACTGACATAAGTTGAATTCCTTTCACAGCTGGGAACAGCTCCGGAGCAGCACCGGTGCTTTAGTTCGGGTTCCTTTCATTTTGCGTGTGTTGCACCGGAGGTGTTCAAGCTCGATTTCCCCTGCCCCCTCATGCCTCTAACTACACCACCGATCTACGTTGTTGGTGCGTGAAACCCTCATAGCCCTAGGCGGAACAAAAAAAAACATGTTCCTTTCAGAAAAAAGGCGAGTTACTCCGGAGTGAGTAGCCCCGGTGTTTCAAACACTAGAAAGGAAGGAGCTTGGGGATATTTTTATTTAAAATAATGTATTGAAAGTCGTGATCAAAGCTTTAAAATCGCTGATTTCAAGAGATAACGGCATCATTGAACAGAGTGATTCGAAAATCACGGTATCGCTCATCACTAGTATGCTCACGACTTGAGCCCGCCGGCTAATTGTCAGTTGTAAGTGACAATTAGGTTAATTGTCAGTTGTAAGTGACAATTAGAGCTAATTGTCAGTTGTAAGTGACAATTAGGTTAATTGTCAGTTGTAAGTGACAATTAGAGCTAATTGTCAGTTGTAAGTGACAATTAGAGCTAATTGTCAGTTGTAAGTGACAATTAGGGCTAATTGTCAGTTGTAACTGACAATTAGGCTAATTGTCAGTTGTCAGTGACAATTAGGGCTAATTGTCAGTTGTAACTGACAATTATAGAATATTGACAAAAAAAAACACGATGTCCGTTCAGCGCTTTCGTAGAAATAAGCTGTTTAAAAAGGGCAAGCCTACGCTACGAACCAAGCAGGTACCCAACCCAACCAGAGTTGAAGCCAAAATAATGTTTTATTGGCCCCCATTGATTTGTTTGTTTGGATTCTGATTATTTTGATACACAATTTTAGGTAAAAAATTACTCGGATATACTACGTATACGTATGTACAATGCAATTTTCGCTTCAATTGAGCAAAAATTGTAGTGGAGGTATTTATAAAAGGAAGAGGTATATTAATTTTCATAATTAACATTCCCAAGAAATAAAGTGTAGCAAAACGGAGCATAAGTTTGTAAAATTGATAGAAACGGAACGTGTTCCGGACTAGAGAATAGGTAGAGACATCTTTTGGCTAGGGCAAACAATAACGTACAAGTCCATCTAAGGGCGGGTATTATAAAACTACTTTGAGAGTTAATTTAAAGTTAACTTCTGGAATTACATGTAATTCAAAAAGTTAACTTCAAGTTAACTGTCATTTGTCAAAGCAGTTTTATAATACCCGCTCTAACTTGAAGTTAACTTTTTGAATTACATGCATGCATGCGTGCCGAAGTGCCACTTCGCTACCAGATTGATTGAGGATGGGCCTTAACTTTTCGGCGTAATCGTGGCGAAGTTGTGACGTTTGTTTCTGTTTTTTCTGATATATGATAAGAACAATCACAGAAAACCAAAGAAAAAGGACTACAACAACAAATTAGTCAATTTTAGTTACAACCTGGCAAAAAATAAACAAGACATTTCGGTTAGAAAATGTTCTTTTCTACAAACGTCACTAAAAGTGTCATTTTTAACGGAAGCTGTCAGTGTCTGAAATGCCATTTTATGACATTGGTGTTAAAAATTGTATTCCTTTCAAGAGTTTGAAACACTCGAGCTACTCGCTCCGGTGTTCAGTCGCCCCCGATTTGCAGAGAACAGATGCGTGGTGTAACAAACACTTTTCGAAAGGAATAAGCGTGTGAAGCCTCGGAGCTGTTCCGGAGCTCCTCCTAGGTGTGAAAGGAATACAACTAAAAGTGATTACTTTTAGCACTTAGTGCTAAAAGTAATCACCTTTAGTGCGTTTGTAGAAAAAATTGTATATGATATTCGTGCAGAAAGTGATTTTATTTTCAAAAACGTTCTGGTTTGCGATTTCTGTGAGAGTCAGAACAGACTCTTAGAGTGCACTGAAATATGTTGAAGAAACCAAGGATGATACACACTATTACTACAGGATGGTCTATCCTCATAAGGCCTGTGTGTAACAAATACTGATCATCGCGTTAACTGTTCCATTCGATCTTAAAAAAACCGAAAGCGCCTATATATGGCAACGTTGCCAAGAGTTTGAAATTTTTTTCCCCTCCAAAATTCATCAATCAATTCTGTCAAAATTTCCCGCCTAAAGATTAAAGAAAAGTTTGGTTTTGTTTGTTAGTTTTGTAGTAGTTTGAGTTTTGTTAATTTGTAATTTTCCTTTTGTTCTTGTTGTAATTATTATATTAACTAAAATGGAGGAAGAAATTCGTGGTCAATTCGAAATGTTCAACATAAAGCCCAGCCAAGAAGTCATTGCAAAATGTAAGTAAAATGCCTTTTATCAATTTTCATAATTTGATGTTAATTTGAAAAAAAGGTTTGAAAATGTGCGATAAATACAAAATCGACGGGGAAGATTTGGTGGACCAATGGTTCGCCTTTACCAGCTCGAAATTACGAGGGGCGAATCCTACCGTCGAATATTTGGAGCAAATGGAACGGAAAGAGCTGATGAAGCAAAAAGTACCGGCAACAATCACTACTGTACAAGAATTGTATCCTTTTTTTGAATGTTTTATTGTTCTAGTTTATTTTTGTTTGCGATATTATTCCCTAACATAAAGAAAATAGATCTCCTGTTGCAAATTCTAGTAAGGCTGCAACTTCAGAAGGGCCTCTAAGTACACCAAAGGTAAGTTTTTTTTTTTTAAATTTTGTTTTACTTGAATGACCATCAATCTACGATATACGTTTCATTTATTCTCTCTCTCGTTTGCCTATATAAAACAAAGATAAACGGCATCGAGGCATGTCGTAGCTAGCGACTTGCGCACAAAAGTTTTCTTATTTCTAAGAAATTTTCAAGGCTATTTCCTTGGGTAGCGGCCATTGTCCGATTCCCTATTCAGAAAAGAGACGCTTCGCTTTTGTCCTCTGATTCGGTCACAAATTTTAACGGATTTTTCATCGGAAAATCGATTTTTAACCGCCGCTTTTCCGACCTGTTGATTCAGTTTGGGCGGCAATTTTTGTGTTTATTTACGGCGGCCGGTTTTTCCGATTACTTTGAACCACATAAAGCAGTGTAAACAACCTCTTTGTGCTATAATTTTAAATCCAATTTGTTATTTAAGTAGTTTTATTTTGTATAATTTTTTTGTTATTTTGTAGTATTTAAGCTAAACCAAAAACTATAATGAATCATAGAGTATAAATTCTTAATTAGTTTAACTACAATTCCTTCATAGTTTCTTCAATAATTCAAATTCAGAAATCTTCAAATATTTACTCAATGACCTATTAGTTTTGGTATGTAGGTATTTTTTTGCAGCATCCAGGATTCAATAAGGACCAAAATAATAATGTTTTCTAATGGGTTGGGGTCTAGTCCACGTTATTTAATATTCGTGACTAGATCCACACTCATTAAGAAATGTTCTTCTAAGCATCGAGATTGGATTGTCCAAAACGTTTTCATTGACGTTGTGAGGATCTACGATTTGAAGGATTACAAGTTTAAACTCAATTTTTGTTAATTTAATTAATTAACAGTTTGTTTTAGTTTTTTCAGTACCTATTCAAGTTTATATAAGTTAATCAGATCATCAGCTGCTGTATTTTGTCTTGCTTCAATAGTTAAATAGATAATTTTTTAAAGGTCACAATAATTTAAGTCTTGAAAAATGTGTTATGATTGTGAAAAAAAAATGCAACTTGTACTCCAGCTCCAAGCAGCCAAAATAGAAAAAATTGCATTATTTTTATTGTAATTATCTTTAATAATAATAAGTAATTAAAAATCATAAGCTTATCAAGTTTCTCCCTTTTGGGTAATACCACTACCACTATTGCTATCTTGGTGTTTCCATTATTAGAAAAAATATGCTGAAAACTAAAATTTCTTGAGTATAAAGTTATTTATTTTATATGACCTACATATGAATTTGAGGGTTGTTTTGATAATCATTATTGGCTTGTAATGATGTTTTTTTTTAATATTATATTATTATTATTATTATACATCATAATATAATAGGTGTCAAAATGAAATAAAAAAGATTGTTCTATTTTTTTTCAGGAAAAAGTAACCTTTTCATTTATCAATTTTGATAATATGTAATTAACTAATTATTATTTAATATGTATTCAATAAATTAAAATATAAAACTTATTCACATAGATAGATATTCCTACCTATTCAATACATTTCAATACAAATTTGAAGAGAACATTTTAATGCCTAAAAACTTCTAATTCTCGTAAAAAATAAAAAACAAAAAAAACTTTTTTTTTTGTATTTTTTTTTCCCCATTTGAATCTTTTTTCTGGATTCTTTTATTTTTATGTTTTCCTTATCAAAAAATAAACAATTTCAAGATCTAATAATTTCAATATTTCCTTTATCAATTTGCAAATTTTCCATCCAATCCAAAATGTTTATTTTCTTCAAAAGAAAGAAGTCCCTCTATGTAATTTTTTGTAAATCTGTTTTTTTTTTTTCTAAAATGACATCGATACACAATCTTAATATAATTAGGCTCAAGTTGAACCAATTAAATCCTCTACAAATCTAATTAATTAATTCAAAGCAACATCAGTATTTTCGCTAATGAAAAGCTTCAAGGTCTTGGTTTTGTTTTTATCAAGGGGAAATTTTTATTTATTTCCTAAATTTCAAGATTGTCTTTTAAATTTCAATCCAATCCTTCTAACATTTTCCCCAAAAGAAAATAAAGTGTCCCTCAATGTCATTCTTTTAAAAATATGTTTTTTTTCCAAATTGCCCCATAACTTGGCTAATTTCAATCCGATTGTAACATAAATTGAGGCCAATTAAATTCTCTAAAAATCTCTATAGGATAATTTCAATGCAGCTACTTCAATAGTTTCGCAGCTGCAAAGTTTGAATGTTATTTAAATTTTATCAAGGTGAGAAAACAGAAGGAAATTTTTATATATTTTCCTAAATTTCAATATTTTCTTGATCCACTTGCAAAATTTCAATCAAATTCCTCGTACGTTTGCCTCAAAAAAAAAAAAAAAAAATGTCTCTCGATATAGTTTTTTGAAAATCTGATTCTTTCCAAAATGACATTTTCACACATTTTGCCTCACAACTTTTTTAATTTCAATCCGATTTTTACAGAATTAAGCTCAAATCGAAATTAATTAAATCGCCTACAAATCTCTAATAAATAAATTCAACGCAGCTTCAATAACTTTGCAGCTGCAAAGCTCCGAAAGTGTTTTGCCTTTGATTTTTATAAAGGTGAGCGAGCAGAAACATTTTTTTTTTTATTTTCCTAAATTTCAATCTCTTCTGTATCCACTTGCAAAATTTCAATCAAATCCCTCGCAGGTTCTCCTCTAAAAGAAAATTAATTGTGCCTCAATATAATTTTTTATTATACATACATCATAATCAATGATTATTGCACGCTGCAGTGTGCATAAAATGATGTTTATGATGCGCTACCTTTTCAAAGGTTTGTTATAAAAACGTTTGATCTACCTATATTACCTAGATATTTACCTGTAGCTTAAATTACTACTATTTGTCAGAATGAATGGAACACATTTAAAACATTAATCTACATCGGTGTCATTATGACACACTTATCATTGTCATTTGAATGTCATTAGGTCCTTCATAATAGCACTAGTGTGTTTAGGAATTCATAAAAACACCCAAATTATGACATGAAAAATATACAAAAAGAAAGTTAGTTACCAGAAGAACCTTTTCGTTGATGCTGTCTCGATATTCGAAGGGACACTGTTAAACACAGAATCACTAATATTAATATTATTTTTTCCATATAGCTACTGGTAAAGTTGGCTTTAGTCTACTAAAAATAGTAGATAAAGTGGCACTTTAACCGCAAGGGTAGATTAAATGCTACTTTAACATAGATAAAGACGTTTATTTTGTCAAAAATTGATACATATTTTGTTTTTTTATTTATTTTTCAAAGTTTGTCAAACAAATTTCTACTTATGCAAAAGTGTTCCACTCAAATAATTTCTAAGTTTTTTCGAAATTGCATGCGTCCATAATTAGGCTATGGAAATAGTATATTACAATCCGAGACGGGAAATTAGCTATTACTGTCGAGAGATGCGTAGCGTCGAGATAAACTATATCTCGAGACAGTAATTAAATTTCCTGTCGAGCATAGTATACTATTTTATTTTTAACCATAATTTTTGCTAATTTAAATTAGAAATGAAATTGAATGTGAACGTAGCTTCATGCTATTTGCTTGAATTTTATGTCATTGTCATCAATTTTGAAAAAAAATTGACAATACCTGCCACATAAATATAATGAAACGAGGACGGGAAGTGAGGACGGGAAATGAGGACGGGAAGTGGAGCAGGGAAATGAAAAGACAGTAAAGTGACATTTCCAAATTTTTAAAAAGACTGTAATGTCAACATTACATATATGGTTAAAAATAAAAAACTTTGTTTTAAACACAACGATAAAATGCCATTATCGTCTCCCGGAATTAATTCACTCGCGATTCCGCTTGTGAATTAACTTTTCCGGTCAACGATAAAATATCATAAAATATATAAAAAAACACTATTTCCGCTATAAAACTGAATTTATGGCACAAAAATGAACTCCAATATTGAAGCTGCCAAAGTTCTGTGCTGCCAAAGTCAAAATTCTTAAAATCAACAAGCAGGTTCCCGACTACACCTTTTCCATAAGTATTTCAGAATGTATCACTTGTATTTCAGATTCATCAATTCTAGTTCAGAATACGTCAATTGTATTCCAGTTGTGTGAGTTTAACTTCAGAAAGTGTTATTTGTATTTCAACTTTTGTCAGTTGTAGTTCAGAAAATATCATTTGTATTTCAGTTTGGTCACTTGTATTTCAGAAAGCGTAATTTGTGTTTCAGATTATCTATTTGTAGATCAGAAATTGTAAATTGTATTTCAGAATTCGTCAAATGTATTTCAGGCGTTATCAATGTATTTGTATCAAACAAAATTTATAATACATAGTTCACTTATACACCTTGCTTGTGTTGATTTGTGGAAATCTGTTCTTATATTATTATTTTCTGAAATACAACTGATGATTTCTGAACTACATCTGACAAATTCTTAAATATAATTCACGCTTTCTGAAATACAATCAACGAATCTAAAATACAATTGATGCTTTCCAAAATAAAATTAACTAATCTGAAATACATTCGACGCTTTCTGAAATAAAATATACTAATCTGAAATACAATTGACTCTTTCCGAAATAAAATTAAATAATCTGAAATACAATTGACGCTTTCCGAAATACAATTTACTAATCTAAATGGGCTCTTTCACTAAAATTTAAATACGTAATTTAAGTATAAAATCCCAAAGGAGGGACTATTTTAGGCATATAAACCAAAAAAAAAAAGTTCTACAAGGTTAAATAAGTTTTTTACAGGCATTTTAAACTGCAAAATTCAAATTAATTAAAAACGCGCCGATTTGCTGACGCCGAATAAATATTTTTCATTTCGCTTGCTGTTGCAAGGAGCTGACCGCCTCAGCTGTATTTACCCTGTAGTAAATGCAGGTAAAGGTTCGAATGCGCTGTTGTCGGTGGTGACTACCTAAATGTAGTGCAACGTAAAATAAATAAATAAATAAAACTAAACATAAAAAATTATATTAAATTGTGTTTA